CTGTCTAGAGCGCCACCTTAGGAGCTCGAGTGCGGCAAGCTACTGCCCAGCACGTTGCCTGTGTTGCCTGCTGCCTACTGCCTCTGTCTTAGCCTGCGGTCTGCTGCCTGCTGCCTCCTGTCTACTGCCTGCTGTCTCTGTCTTTGCCTGCGGCCTACTGTCTACTGCCCCCTGTCTGCTGCCTGCTTCCTGCTGCCTTTGCCTGCTGCCGTTATGACGACGCCTAATGTTCTCGCGTTCGAGCCTGACGGTCGCCCCATAGAGTTCGCTGTGTGGCTCGACGACCTGCAACTGTTACTTCTGACTGATGCCAAAGAGGGTGTCTCACTGTTCGATTACGTGTCTGGCACTGCCGTTGCCCCTGCTGCCGATGCTCCTGCTCTCGAACGCTCACAGTGGCAGACTCGCGATGCTGCAGCACGCCTAGCTATTAGGAACCATCTGCCGATTCCTGAGCGTGCTCATTTCAGCTAGCACAAAACTGCTAAGACACTGTACGACGCTGTAGTTGCGCGCTACTCCTCCCCGGCCACTGCAGCCATAGGTCGGCTCATGCTACCCTACCTGTTCCCCGACCTTTCCTTGTTCACCACTGCTGAGGACCTCATTTCTCACCTGCGCGCTACTGACACTCGCTTTCGTGCCGCCCTTTCAGCCGAGTTCTGCGCCGCAAACCCCCTCCCCACCCCCGATGTACTTCACTCTCTATTTCCTCGTCACCCGCCTCCCTGACACTCTTAGCTCTGTCAGGGACCACTTCCTAGCGCTAGACCCCACCACTCTCACTGTCGACGACTTCGAGAAGCACCTCCTCGCAGCAGAGAAGAACATCCTCGCTGTAGGTGCTGCTCGTGGCACTCCTCGCTCTCCCCTCTTTTAGGGGTGCTCCCCCTCCCCTCTCACCCCCTCTTACGCCTCCGCAGCTGCTGCTCACGACTACCTTGGTGCTGAGGAGGTCGGAGCTGTTTCCGCTCCTAGTGGGAAGCGTCGCAGCGGCAGGGGCGGCAGGGGTGGCAGGGGCGGTGGGGGTGGCGGTGGTGCAAGCGGCGGGGGAGGTGGAGGTTGTGGGGGTGGTCGTGGGGGTGGAGGCGGTGGAGGTGGTGGTGGGGGCGGCGGAGGCACTGGGAGCGGTGGAGGGGGCAGCAGCGGCGGTGGGGGAGGAGGGAGCGGTGGTGGCAGTGGTGGTCAGGGCCAGCAGCAGCCGCAGCAGCAGCAGCAGCAGCACCATCAGCGTCAGTGCCAGACCCCCACTTCCCAGCAGCTTCTTGACTGGTATGCCGGGCGTGGGGCTTCTGGGGGTCCTGGTCGCTGCCCCTATATCATCCGCACAGGTCAACGCGCTGGTTGCCAGTGCACAGGTTTTCACACTGAGCAGCGCTGCTTCGCTCGGCTTAGCGACGCCTGGCGCGCCAAGTTTCCTGATGCTCCTGAGTTCCCCAACTGGGCAGACTTGCTTAGGCGTGATGTACCTATCTTTGATCTTGACTATGAGGCAATTCTTGCTGCTATGTATGTATTGTCTGTTAGTGCTGAGGGTGACTGCTACTTGTGTGTGCCGCCGGATCCTGGTATAGCCCCTGCAGCACTAGGTGCTTGTGAGTCTGCTCCCCTTGGTACTGCGCCTGCACAGGCCTTGCACACCTTTACACTTGACTCTGGTGCTTCCTGCTGTTTCTTTCGCGACAATACCACAGTCACTCCCCTCCCTGCACCTGTTCCTGTCTCACTGGCTGACCCCTCTGGGGGCCCAGTGCTTGCACGGTCTTTCACTGTGCTTTCGTGTCCGGCGGTCCTGTCTGGTGAGCTGTCTGGTCTCCACCTCCCCTCGTTCTCTACGAACTTGGTGAGTAACGCTGTCCTCCAGGATGCGGGGGTTGACACCTTCACCCCTGGCCGGCAGCGTGTGGCGATTTGCACGTGCTCCCAGACTGGCCGCCACCTGGCCACGTTCACTCGTGCACCAGGGTCCAGTCTGTACACCCTCACCACTGCGTCGCGCTCCGCCCCTTTGTCTCCCCAGTTACACGCGTCTGCTCAGGTAGCTACACAGTGTGAGTGTCGTCGGCTGTCGCACGACACTCTCGTGTGGCACCACCGCCTTGGTCACCCCTCCTTGCCTCGCCTTCGTAGCATGCACTCTCGCTTCCTGGTCTCTGGTCTTCCCAGGTCTCTGCCTGCCCTCCCTCCCTCGCATGCGCCGCCCTGCATTCCTTGCGTCGAGGGGCGGCAGCGCGTCGCTCCTCACTCCTCCTCGTTCCCTCCCACAGAGGCTCCACTGCAGACTCTCCACCTCGACGTGTGGGACCCAGCCCGCGTCCGTGGACAAGGCCACGAGCGGTACTTCCTGCTGGTTGTCGACGACTACACGCGCTACACCACGGTCTTCCCCTTGCAGCGCAAGGGGGATGTCCCTGCTGTTCTGATCCCCTGGATCCGCGCTGCTCGTCTCCAGCTCCGCGAGCGGTTCCAGTCGGACTTTCCTGTCCTGCGTCTGCACTCTGACCGAGGTGGTGAGTTCTCCTCAGACCTCTTGGCAGCCTTCTGTGCGGAGCACGGCATCCGCCTCTCCGCAGCAGAATGGGGTTGCTGAGCGCCGCATTGGCTTAGTCATGGAGGTCGCTCGTACCTCCATGATCCATGCGGCTGCCCCCTATTTTCTGTGGCCGTTTGCGGTGCGGTACGCCGCGCATCAGCTCAACCTTTGGCCCCGTGTCTCCTTGCCGGAGACCTCGCCCACACTGCTGTGGACGGGGAAGGTTGGCGACACGTCGCGTTTCCGGGTCTGGGGTGCTCGTGCCTTTGTCCGCGATACCACCGCGGACAAGCTCTCCCCTCGCGCCATTCCTTGCGTCTTCCTTGGCTTTGTCCCTGACGCGCCTGGCTGGCAGTTTTACGACCCCGCCTCGCGCTGTGTCTTTGCGTCTCAGGACGTCACCTTTGACGAGTCGGTCCCCTTTTACCGCCTTTTCCCCTACCGCACTGCTCCTCGCCCCCCCCCCCCGCCGCTCTTTCTTGCCCCAGGTCCTCCCCAGGTAGACCCCCTCCCCGCGCCAGGTCCTGCTCCTTCAGGTGTCTCTCAGGTAGACCCCCCCGGGACAGAGCACGCCGGGACAGAGCACGCCGCACCGTCACACTGACTCAGTCACACATGGTGCAGCAGGTCCTTCAGCGCTTCGGCTTCACCTGGTCCTCAGCACAGGCCACTCCTCTGGCTACAGGTCACTCGCTCTCAGCTCCACCTTTGGACGAGTCCGTAGAGCCGAGTGGTCCTTACCCAGAGCTAGTGGGCTGCCTCATGTACCTGATGACCTGCACTCGTCCTGACCTTGCGTACCCTCTTGGCCTTCTGGCTCGCTACGTGGCTCCTGGTCGGCACCGAAAGGTGCACATGGATGCTGCTAAGAGGTTACTACGCTACTTGTGCAGTACATCGGGCATGGGGCTCGTGCTTGGAGGACGGGGTGACGTTGTCCTCACTGGTCACTCGGACGCCTCTTGGGTTGACGACTAGGCTACGCAGCGGTCGTCACAGGGTTACACCTTCAGCCTTGGTTCTGATCCTGTTTCCTGGCGTTCTACACGTTCGTCTTCAGTTCTCGGCTCCAGCTGTGACGCCGAGATCTACGCCACAGCTATGGCTGCACAGGAGCTACGCTAGCTCACCTACCTGCTGACCGACTTGGGAGAGCGGCCTCGTTCTCCTCCAGTTCTGTACGTCGACAACAAGGCTGCCATTGCCTTGTGTCAGGAGCACAGACTGGAGCACAGAACGAAGCACATAGCTCTACGTTACTTCCTTGCTCGAGAGCTGCAGCAGCGTGGCCAGCTTCGTCTTGCTTACGTGGCCACTCAGGCCAACACTGCTGATATATTCACCAAGGCGCTTCCGCCTGGTGATCATCAGCGTTTCTGCACTTTGTTAGGCCTTGTTCCCACGCTTCCTCACTTGCTGTAGGCTTTGTTTGTACTGTGATCTATATGTATACCTGCATGCTTGCTCTTGTAGGTAGATATCACTGTGATGTTGTTGTTACACATATATCTCTGCATGTGAACTGGCCTTGTGGCCTTTTGCTTGTGCTCAGACTGCGTGGTGACGTTGTGATCCACCCTGAGCGTGTTTTGCACTTCCTGTCTGGCCTTGTGACCCTCTGTTCTCCCCCACTTTGCCTATGGGGGTGTGTCAAACATATGTTTATATGTTGTAGTTTAGGTAGGCTTTAGTGGGGTACTCACTGTGGGGTACAACCCTTTAGGTTTTCGTTTTGTACCAAACTCTCGATAGTCCAATACCACCTTGCCTAAGATTCTAACAGCGAATAGTCACGTGCCGTTTCAGAACAGGAATTGCGTGAATAGCACAGTACAATAGGCGAATAGGTACTTTACTCTAGCTATATATTCTGTATGTTTGTCATTTTTTAATACACTTGATTTCAGAGACATCGATCCTGAAACGTGTCACTACATGGGCTTTACATACTAGCCCAGACAAAGCCTCCTACATTGGCTTTAACTCATACTAAGACTTCCACTGCAACAGGAAGCTACCACCCTAAGTATACGATCCTATTCGGTCATTTCAAATTCTACCAAATCTGAGGGCCTGACGGTAACGCGAGGAATTGGGGTGCGCTCCGGGCCTAGCGCCGAGGTTGGGATATGTCGAGGCGGAGGTCCAGAGCGCGGGTTACCAACCGAACCGTGAGGTTGGGTCGCGTCGTGAACAGTGGCGGGAGACGTAGTCGAGGCGAGTGTCGCGAGCTAGTAACGTTTCACTGTTTGGGTGCCGATGGCGGAGGGAATGGTCTTGTACGCGGTAAGCAGGGGCGCAAAGTAAGGAAAGGAATTTTCCTTATAAGGAACGCCATGAAATTAATTTGAAACAATTTTCTCTGTTTGGTTCTGTCTGGTACCAGTGGCATATTATGATTTATAAGAACAAGTGAACACTTCTCACTTGAAAGCATAGCACCAAACAATGTACCACTCTGTACACACTACGTTAGAGCAGAATATGCAGGAAGTAGTCGAAGGCGCTTCAAAGATGGTTCAGTGCAATCAGCGTCCATCATGCACTCATCAGCACTATCTGCAAGGGACTGCATCCACGGGTCCAAGCTTCTGCCATATGCACCGTCGCAACTGTAGCCTGAGCTTCCAGCAGGAGCAGAAACCTCCAACAAGTCCGGTGACTGTAACAGGTCTGCAAGCAGCTCTTGCATCTGTTTCATGTCAGCAGACTCAGTGCCTCCTCCACTCGCACTCCTTTCCAACACCGGTTCCCCTGCTTCTTTATCCACAAGCACTTTATCATCCAGCGATGGGATGTCGCTGCCGATTCCACAACCGCTGCTCGCGATGACATCCCCTGATTGGTCCTGCACTGATTTCAAAAGCTCCTCCCATGAAACGCCGGGAAGGTCAGACAGCAAGGTTTCACGGCCTTCAGCAGCTGCTGGGTCATTGTCACAAGCAGCGTCTACAGTTTGCTCAACTGCCATGACTCTTTCATCGCTGGTCTCCACCGGGGAGGATGCTTCCGCAATGCTCTCCAGGCGCGGAAACATTGGAGGAGCAGATGGGGTTTCGTTCGCAGAGGGCGACAACGGCGAAACAAGCGGAGGGACAGGGGCAGAAGGCGACAAGAGCCTCGCAGCAGAAGCACCAGGAGAGACGGTCGAGTGGGGAGCTTGTGCAACGGCGGAGGAGGAAACGGCGGAAGCAGCAAGCAAAATCACTGCCACAGCAGCAGAGGCAGAAGCACAGGCAGCGGCACTGCTGTCCAGAGAATTCGCTCCGTCCGTCACTACCGCGTTCCAAGCGTCGTCTTTATCGAAGCCATTGCAACCGCTGGCGGCTTTGTTCACCCGAGGCGCGTCCACATGAGTCCACGCAGCGTCAGCAGGCGGCGGCGACTCGGGCAGATTGCTCCCATCGCCGCAACCTCTCAGTTTCTCGTCGGTCGCGGCAGCAACGGCCCCAGAGGCATCCCCCCCGCCGCCGCCGCCGCTGTTAGTCATGGCAAGGACAACGTTTTCAACGAGGAGGTCCATAGTGAGCGCGTTTAGCGCCGCCAGCTGCTCCCGCTGCTCCTTCTGCTGCTCCTGCGACTTGGGTCGCGCCACCAGCAGCGACTGGAGATACTGCAGGAGCTGCACTGCCGGCGGCTGACGAACCGCCGGCTCGCTGCAGCCGGTACCGCGGTTTCGGCTGCGCGGGGAGACGGAAGCGCCGCGCTCTTGGCGGAGGGAGCGGGGAGAGTTGGACAGGGCGTTAGGAACGGGGTTGTTGCAACTGTCTGACCCGGGTATCTCCAGCGATATCGCCGCTCGTGGCCGCTTCTTAGACGCGGGACGGGCCTTAGGAAGAGCGGCGCGGTCCGACGCGGCGTTGGGCGCGGTTCCGCTTTGTGGGGTGCTGCGCCTGCCACTTCTCTCCCCCGCGGCGCTGGCAGGGGTCGCTTCGCCATTGTTCATTGCCGAGGCGTTCGGGTCCTCGTTTCGGCATGAGTCCTGCGCACTGTCGCTGCTCTCCCTGCTGCTGACCCCCGTGCTGTTGCATTGCTGCTTTACGCTCGAATCTGAGCCCCGCAGCGTCGGGAAAGCCACCGCATTGCGCGCATCGAGCGACGCTGAACGGCTACTGGAAGCAGCGGCGGCGGCTGCGCGTCGCGAAACAGCCGTCGCGAAAGGACGAGGCGACTTGGAGGGGCGAGAGCTTGGCGGCGGCATCATTGCCCTTTGCGACGGATCCTTGGACCTGCTGCTCGTAGTCCCCGACGCAGCGGCTGCTATGGCTGCTGCGAGCGTGGGGAATGCGGTCGGTGCAGGAATGAGAGCAGAACGCTGAGCCTCGGAAAGGACAGGATCCTTTGTGGAAGTTACCGGCGCGTCGTTAAGCCTCTGTTCGTTGCCGATGACGGGAGATGGATGGTTGGACTCTTGCTGAGCCACTATTCGCTTGAGGTGCCGCAGGAGCCGCGTTGCGTGTTTATCCATTCTGTGTTGCTGATGAGGGGGTGGAATGGATGAGATGCAAACGTGCAGAGCCTTAGGGAAAGTTGAAACTCAAGAGTGATAGACTCCTCGCAACAAAATGTGTTTGACACTTCACAGAAACAGATTCAAGGCAAGAAAGTGCTAACAATTCCGCATTACGGCAACGAACGTCTCTTTTCGAAGCGGACTTGACTCCGCTTGTGCGCGCGAGTCAGGAACCTGCCAGCCAACAGGACAAAACCAGACCACGCGGAAGGTCCGGATTGGGCCGACTTGCCCTTGAAACTGGTTTCCTTTGCTGCCTGAAGAGTGTGCATCCACAACTTCACATGCACCCCAACCACCTCCCTTGGTCAGGCAGATACTTTCCGTGGCTGACAGTGACGCAGGGAAAAAACTGGAGCACGGGAAAATGCAAACCTGGAGAAGGTACTCCAAACCTGGCAGCCTGCCAGCAGCACCCCCTTTCTCAGAGACAGAGTTGCGGAACGTGCCTCTCTCCCAACTGTTGAAGAGGCACCTTCACCTCGGTACCGTAGTTTAGAGAACGGTTTGATAGGTTTGATAGTTTTTATGTGGGTTCTGGTTCGGCACGGACATCCGAACGTCGGCTTCCGCGCTCTTCCCAAGCCATGGATTTTGTCTGGAACGCGTTCCATTCATCCATCCAATCCCCTGCCCCTCTCCCTCCTCCACCGTTTGACCTTTCCAGAAGGACTGCCCTAGAAAGCCCCTGACCAAGCATATTGCTGTAACGAAGCTGACAGGTGCTTGAGTCTGTCTCAGTCTGACCTGTGTTTGACCGACATCATCGAGAAACTGGCGCCAACGCATCGTCGATTCGCATGTGATGTGAGTGAGTGAGCATATTGCCTACATCTCAGCTCGACACAAGAAACGTACAGTACACTGCAACAATGCATTGCACTGCACCCCTGTCTGTCTGTAACGTGATGATCTGTACAGCGCAAAACAGCACTGTTTGTAACGAATGTGTTTGTTTCCGTTCTGGAGCTCACTCTCTCCCTCACACCACAGCTTGGGTTGGGGTCGGTAATTTGCAGGCCGTGTCATGTAAATTGTCGCTTTGCAGACTGCAAAACAGTGGTCAAGTGAACAGTCTTGTTGACTGCCAGTGACACTCTTCCAGCTTGGCAAGGAAGGCTTTTGGCGGAGTGGTCGGAGTAATGTAACATACGTACAGCTGCACAGACTTTCGCGAACAAGGTCAAACATCAAAGCCGTGATTACGAATTTATATACAACCAGATTAAACACAAGATAACTCTCCACAACCTCCTACTTACCACCTTGCCATTCCTTGAAAATTGATTGCATGAGATGGCGGTTGCGAGGATTTCCAACATTTACAGTTGGAGTGATCTGCCTTGGCTGACAAAAGGAAACGAAGTCCTGAAGTTCTGTGAAGCTGCTGTGTTCACTGTAAGGCACACCTATAGAATGGGAGTAGGGAGAGGGAGAAAGCATGGAAGAGCTGGTAGTTGTAAAATGGAGCTCCACAAGTGGATGAATGGTTGTGTGCTGTGGGTCCAAGACAACCAATCATCAGCCAGCACGAGGTAAAAGCTTATTAGAGGTAAGAATGATACGAGGCAAATGATAAAATATGAGAAAATAAAAAAGGTGAGCGAGTACCATATAGTGAAGCGTTGCGATAGTGTTGGGGCTGAATGTTGTGCAGACCTGAGGCTAAGCGCTGGGAAAAAGTCCATCCTGGCAACAATAAATGCACAACACTGCACACGTCAGCCTCGAATGCAATGTGGTGTGAAATGCAACTGGAAACCTTTTTTTTTTTTTTTTTTTTTTTGGCCATGTCATGGCATGGCATGGCATGGTATCATGTGGTATGGCATTGTATGGGATAGAATCAAATGGAATATCACCTGTGGGTCGAAAGCCAATCACCCGCGTGAAACCTCTCTGGTTGGATACATACTCATGCAGGCGCTGCACGGAGAGCAAGATGGAGAAGCAGGACATAACAACTTCAAGAGTGGCCTATCTAATAGCATTGCAAAGCAATGCAGTCATGACACAAGAGTGATGATCCCACACACACTTCTCACATCCGACTCGCTCGCTCCTCTTCCTACACCCCTGACTGCCAATACCCTCCCCTTCCCACCCGCTCTTTTCCCTCTCTCCTGCTCCCACTTCCTTCCCCACTCCCAGCACGCCGTGCCATCCCAGCACGCCATGTCATCCCAGCACGCCATGTCATCCCAGCACGCCATGTCATCCCAGCACGCCATGTCATCCCAGCACGCCATGTCATCCCAGCATGCCATGTCATCCCAGCACGCCATGTCATCCCAGCACGGCACAGTCTCACCTGAGCGCGCAGCTGCCCCAGGGGCAGCACGTGCAGCGGGGAGGAGGCGGCATCACGGGTGAGGCGAGAGGAGAGTGCGGGCCACTGTAGCGCGTGGAGCAGGCGGTGGTGCCGCGGCAGACAAAAGATGCTTTTCTGGGGATTGGCGGCCAAGGGGTGGGGAAGAGCGGGGGAAGTGGGGGTAAAAGGTGGGGGAAGGAAAGGGGGCGGATGTACATAGGAATGAAAGGCGACGAGAGAGCGTGTGGAAGGCTTTCTTTGATTGAAGAGTTGGAAGGAGGGAGGCATGGAAAGGAGGGAGTACCTGCAGCGCCTGGGCTATCGCGAGAAAGAGGCGCTCCTTGCCTATGCTGTATGCCCCCACCACAAACAGTACCCTACCCCCTTCCCGCCTCTCCGCCTTGTCCGCTGCCACTGCCACCGCCACCGCATAGTCTATCACCTGCTGCTGATCCGGGAAGCTGTGGGAGCAGAGCAGGGCAGAGGGAGGGTGGGAGGGAGGTGCGAATAGCTTGGCAGTAGGGCAGTGAGTGATGGATGGTTGCATGAAGGACCGAGGTTCCACGCCCATGCGTGTCGCAAGATGCTTCACAGTGTAGAGTGGCCAGCAGGTTTTCTTAGTCGAATTAACGAGAGGAGGCGAGAAGAAATGGGTGCGAAGGTAGGAATGAGGGTGAAGAGAGGCTGAATAGAGGCTGAATAGAGGCTGAATAGAGGGTGAAGAGAGGTTGAAGAGAGGGTGAAGAGAGGTTACGTGTAGCGCGGGTGACAGTACGTGGTGTCGAGGTATAGCCGGTCCACAGAGGCAGGCGACAGGTGGCGGTACGTGCGCATGGCGTGACATGCTCGGAAGTCCCCCGTGTGGAGAATGGTGGCCGAGAGGAGGGCGCGAGGAGAGATGGGGGTGCGGGCGGGGAGGAGTGTGTGTGAGGCGGATGGATGGGGTTGGAGAGCGGAGAGGGGTGGAGGGTGGTGTGTGGCTGGGAGGGTAGGCCTAGGAAGGGATATATGAGGAGGAGGGGCGGAAGCAGCAGCGAGAGCTTCATGCTGCTGCTGCTGCTGCTGCTGGTACGTGCACGCCTGTTGCTGCTGGTGCAGCGGTGGCGGAGGAGAGGAGAGGGAGCGAGGCAGCGGAGGAGGCGAGTTGGTGCGAATGAGGATGAGTGCAGAGCCAGGGCAGTGGTTGGCTGGCAGCAGCGTGACCGCATGGCCGTGTAGATACACCGTGGTGGTGAAGGTGAGCGGGATGAGCAGACTGCCATCACCACCACATGCACGCACACATGCACCACACACACACAGGCATGCACACACAATGACACACTCACATGCATGTGCACGCACACACGAACGCACACACACACACACACACACACACACACATGCACAAGATTTAGACATGCAACTCTGGAATGTGTGAGATAGCACTAGCAAAATCAAGTATGCCCCTCTCTTACCATGCAATCTCATCACCCAACTCCCACTCCCCCCTTCCTTCTCCCATGCCCCACCCATCCACCTCTCCTCCCTGCTGCCACCCACTCCTCACTTTCTTTCTTCCATACCCACTCCACCCCTCGACCCAGCTCCGCCAGACACCCACCCCCCAGCCCACCCCGCAGACCACGCACCTGTGGTCGACCCCCAGGCACATGTGAGCGAGGCGGGCAGTGACGGGCGTGCACACGATGGGGCCGCCCTGCCAGCGCTTGGAGAGCCCGCGGTAGTGGTCGCTGTGGAAGTGCGAGAGGAAGTACAGCTGCACGCCCGCCACTGGGCCATATGAAAAGGCGTCCACTGCGAATGGCGTTCCTGCGGCGCGAATGGCGGAGGGAGGAGGACAACAAAAGAGAAGAAGGAAATAGAGGGGGGGAGGAGGAGGGGGGGGGGGGGTGGGGAAGGGGGTTTGAGTGGAGTCACAAAAGAGAACGAAAGGCATTGACCGCAAAGGGGGTTGCGATGGGTAGCAATGGGTGCGGTGGAAGGCGGTGGGTAGCCAAGGCACGAACCAGGAATCTTCTTGTAGAAGGGGCATGGGCGCGGAGTTTGAGAGGACCAGTGGGGGGAAGGGCGAGAGCGCGAGGATGCAGCAGCGGTGGGTGCAGCAGGAGCAGCTGCTACCAAGCTCTTCTGCCCATCCTCTACAGGAGTGACTTCATCATCAGCACCATCAGCATCATCAGCATCCTCCTCTGCTTCCCTTGCCTGCTCCTCCCCATCCGCAAACCCATTCACTACACCCATCCTCTCGCCCACTTTGTCGGTCCCACCTGCCTTGTCCCCACCCGGACTCTCACTCTCATTCTCACGAAGCTCCTCTCCCCACCAACCCCTCCCTCCTCCTCTCCCCTTTCCCCGTGCCTCCCTCCCCGTCCTGCCCTGCTTCCCCTCCTCCTCCTGCACCACCAAGGGCCCTTTGCCGCCAAAGAAGGCGGAAATGCCTCGCTGCCGCAACACACGGCTGCTGCTGCTGGCACTATCCATGCTCACCACACTATCCACTCTCACCACCTTCCCACTCGCCCCCTCACTTGCCATCCCACTCACCATACCACTCGCCTTCCCAATACCCTCCCCACTTGCTTTCCATCGCCCGACTCCCTCACTCCCTCCTCCCCCCTCCACCCCTGCACCCATCCCACTCCCTCTTCTCCCCACACTCTCTGCAACCGTCTCACTCCCTCCTCCTTCCCCTCCACGAGCAGCCCTCCCCCAGAGGCGAGCCAGAGTGGCTGTGCCCGGGGGCAGGAGCGTGGCAGCAGTGCGAACGCGGACCGTGGCAGAGGTGGCAGACCAGTCAGAGTACCCTAGTAGGCCCAGCTCGCACGCTGCATGCTCCTCCTCTGCATCATCCCTCGCCTCTGCATCATCCCTCGCCTCTGCATCATCCCTCGCCTCTGCATCATCCCTCGCCTCTGCATCATCCCTCGCCTCTGCTTCATCCCTCGCCTCTGCTTCATCCCTCGCCTCTGCTTCATCCCTCGCCTCTGCTTCATCCCTCGCCTCTGCTTCATCCGCGTTCGACTTCTCCACTTCTCCCACCACACCGCCCTTCATCCCCTCCCACCGCTCTCTATCCTTGATTTCCTCCGACTCCTCCTCTCCCACTCCCTCCTCTCCTCCTCCACCCTCCACCTTCTCCCCTCCATCCTCCCACCATCCCCACCCATCTACATCCGTCATCCCACGCACCACTCTCGCCCCGCTCATGCCCCTCCTCCACCCTTCAATCCCCTCTCCTTCACCCCCTCCTCCCACGCTCACTTTCCCACCCTCTCCCCCACCCTCCCCTTTCCCCTTCACCATCAGCCTCTCCCTGAACGCACAGCCAATACTCAACTCTCCCTCCCCCTTCACCCCCACCTCATCCCCTCGCACTTCCCCTCCCCCCCCACATGTACCCCCCGTCCCCCTTTCACGAAAAATGTTCCGGGAGCAGCCATCCTCCGCCGCCCCCGCGCCTCCCGCCTCACCTTCCATGCCCTTCGACTCTATATCCGCTGGCTTTAAAGGCATTTCTAAAGAGAGTCTCGCCCTAACGCGCCTCGCCGTCATCGGATTCATCTCCGCTGGATCGTCCTCCTCCCCCCCTCTTCCGCGCAGCTTGCCTCCGCTATAGCCATCCGCGCAGAGTCCCTCTCCCAATTCCTTTCCCGCTCCCGCCTGTGTGCAACCTCTCCCCGCGCAATCTGCCTCCTTCCGCGCTCCCTTGCCCAGTTCCGCGCATTCTCCCCGCAAAGCTCTTCCCGTGAGCTCGCCCCGTCTCGCCTCGCAGGAAAATATGAGTTTTTGAAAGTTAACTTCCGCCTTCCCGGTTCCGCATTCCGCCCTGGCGAGCGCAAGACAAGGATCCGCGCGGGGCTGCGCGGCGGTGGAAGGCAACGGGCGGAATAATTGCAGGAGCGACCGGTTGCGCAGCGACGTGCTTGGAGATGTCTTAACGCGTGGCGAAGAATTAGTGCGTTGCTGCTGCTGTTGCTTCCCAGCTGCGCGAGAGGGGTTAGGAGCCATGCGCGGATGACGTCACGACTGGTGACGAGCGGATCTCGTCGAACCGCTTAAATGTGGATTTGGAAAGAACTGGACACGCGAGGTTTTAGAGACGACGACGGGTGCCCTCTAATGCTATGCCGGCCGGCGAGGAGAGCTGGAATAACTGGGAGATTGTGCACGCTGAGCTTTCAAAACAGGTTCCAACGCGCGTTTCGAGCTCAGGATATTCTACTAAGGTGTAGTTGGACGTTCGCTCACGGATTCACCCTAAGAAAACTAATTTTCACCCACTAGGCGTCACACTGACTCCAAAATTTGGATTGATGCTCTTTTGGTGTCAATTCACTCTGCTGCTGTTGCTGGGTCGTACGCGCTACACGTGATCTCATATTTGCATATTTTGATATTACTTACACAATCAGCTGGTGTATACTTTTTGGTTCACGCTTCCAAGCAAATTCACGCACATTTCCCGAAGCATCCATGCCCACGTGGACACAAAAAGACCCGAGGGGCGTTCTGGTCATTCAATCAATCCGCGCCAAGTGGACTAGAAACTCGTGGCCCTCACCTCCATGTTCCTCCGGGCCGCACTCACCATCCTGCAAAACAAAAACACCCCCCCCAATACCCCGCCCTCCCGGCTATCCCCTTCCGAAACTCCTCGCCAAGCAGCAGCCCTCGCTGCTCACGCCCGCGGAAAGCAATCAGCCTCGCGCTTCCCCCCACCCTTCCCCCTTCCTCCGACAACTTCACTTCCTCGATCTTATCTTACGAAGTCCTCGGTCAACCACCTGTTGCGCCAGCAGTCGACGCTCCTACCCATCCGCCTTCTTTCCAATTTCCAAACTGGGCGGGTCTTCTGCCGTCTCCTCGCCAGTCGCCATGGCTGCTCAGCTGACGCGTTGCGTCGTGCCCGCAGCGTCGACCCGCATGGGCTCCGCAAAGGCCGCCGCCGCTGTCGCAGCCGTCTGGCAAACATCCCGCGCATCCACGCATATGCTCCCGCCTTCCGCGTCGGCATCAAGCGCTCTATCCTCGCTTTCCCCTGCCACCTCTTCCTCCCCCTCCCCTCCTTTCTCCTCCGCAATCGCGCTCTCCCCTTCCGCCTCTGCCTTCCGCCGCGCCGCGCTGCAAACAATTAAGCCTTCCGCGATCCGGCCAACCGAAGCCGGCCACGTGGCGGTGCGCGCGGAAATGCAGAGCATGGAGGAGCTGCCGGAGAATCTGCAGAAGATCGTGCGAAGCTTCCAGATGGTGCCCGATCCGCGCGCGCGGTACCAGCAGCTGCTCTACTACGCGGCGAAGCTCAAGCCGCTGCCGAAGCAGTTCCAGACGCCGGAGAATAAGGTCAAGGGATGCGTGTCGCAGGTGCGTGCGTGGGCGAGTGCGCGAATGTGCGCATTCGCCGCTCGGTGGCCCAACGTTCGAGCGCTCTTCAGAACACGTGCATCTTTCCTACAATCGTCGCGCCCTTCTTCTCCGTCCTCCAGTGCCTCCTCTCATCCCTGTTCACCTCATCTCTTCCCCACCCCCCCTTCCCCTCCTCCCTCCCCCTTTTTCTCCCCTCATACCCTTGCCTCTCCCCTTTCTTCCCCCGTCCCCGCCTCCGCGCTACCCTTCCCCCCCATTGCCCCCCGCACCGCGCGTGCGCGCAGGTGTGGGTGCTGCCGACGCTGGGCGAGGACGGGCGGGTGAGCTTCCAGGCGGAGAGCGACTCGCAGCTGACCAAGGGGCTCGCCGCGCTGCTCGTCGAGGGGCTTAGCGGCGCCACGCCGCAGCAGGTACGCGATGGGTACAAGTACTAAACCTAATTGGGTTGTACCCCATATGGGCTACCCCACTACAGCCTACACAAGATATAGCATATAAGTTTGACACACCCCCATAGGCACAGTGGGGGAGAACAAGAGGTCACAAGACCAGTCAAGAAAAGCAAAGCAAGCTCAGGGTGGATCACGAAGTCACCACGCATTCTGAGCACAAGCAAAAGGCCACAAGGCCAGTTCACATGCAGAGTTATATAATGCAGAACAAGCAGTACAGTGATCACAACCTAGCAAGTGTAAGCATGCAGGCATAAGCATATAGATCACAGTACAAGCAAAGTCAAGAAGTGAGCAAGTGAGGCCAAGTAGGCACAAGGCCTAGAACAGTACAGAAACGCTGATGATCACAAGGCGTGGGAGGGCGATCGGGGGAAGGTATAGGAGGCGGAGGGGGGTGGGGCATAGAGGAATGCGATCTATAAGAGGAACGCGGAGGTGAGGGGAGAGGGGGGGGTGGGGGAGGGGGCGTGGGGGAAGAGGAAGGATGTAATGGCCAATTCCATAGGAATGTGTGATGGCAGATATGTGTGACAGCTCTTAAGTCCCGTCACACAAAAGAACGCACACGCTCACACAAGCTGCATTCTCCCTCGTGTATCCGCCCGCCGCTCCCCTGTCCCCCCCTCCCTCCCCCGTTCCCCCTCCACATCCCCGCCCTTGTGGCCCGGCGCGCGGCAGATCGTAGCATTGAAGCCGGACTTCATTCAGATGCTGGGGCTGAAGCAGAGCCTGACGCCGTCGCGCAACAACGGCTTCCTCAACATGCTGCTGCTCATGCAGCGCCGCACGCTGCAGCTCTACGCGGAGCGCGAGTCCGCCAACTCCGCCTCCGCGCCCGCAGAGCCCGCGCAGTCCGCGGAAGCAACCGCCGCTGGCAGCGCTGCTGCTGCAGCGGCGGCGGCAGCAGGCACAGCGGCTGGTGCTGCTGCTGCAGGTGGGGGAAACGGGGCGAGCGCCACGGGGGGAGACGGCGGGGAAGGGGAGAGTGGGGAAGCGGAAGCACCGATTGATCCCCAGCGGCCTTTGTTCTCCGCCATGACTGCCAAGGTGCGTGGTGTGGTGCATGGAGAAGAGGCATGGATGACGCATGCATGTGAGGCATGGGTGTGACGCATGCATGTGAGGCATGGGTGTGACGCATGCATGTGAGGGTGTGTGTGTGAGACATGCATGTTGAGACATGTGGTAATGTTGTGGAGATTAGTGAATGTGGGGGGTGGATGTACATGAACCTAAGAGGCTCATGTGCACCGTATTGTTCCCTGCTGCTCATGTGGCCTTGTCATGCTGACATGTGGTGGGCATGTGGTGGGCGTGTGGTGGGCGTGTGGTGGGCGTGTGGTGGGCGTGTGTGTGGTTCCAGATAAGCAAGGCATTGACGCCGACAGCATTGGAGGTGGAGGACGTGTCTCACCAGCATGCAGGCCACTCGGGGAATCCCTCGGGCAAGGGAGAAACGCACTTCAAGTCAGTACTGCACCTCACTCCCCTGCCACACCTATTGGGATTGTCATTATTGCTCGTTTCACCTCATTTCCCCGCACCTTTCACCTCCTCCCGTTGAATCGGCGCCTTCTGTCTGTGAATACTCCCTTTCCACCGCCCCTTCCTCTTCCACCCTATTCACGCCTCTTACCATTCAACAACCCGACAATGCTACCATTCGCTAACCCCACACAATCCAAACGCCCTCCACCTGCTCCCCCCTCAAACTCCCACCCACTTTCCTACATGCCACCCTTTCTCGCCCCGCCCTCCCCCCTCCCTTGCGTGGTGCAGTGTGCGGGTGGTGTCATCAGCATTCGAGGGAGTGCCGACCATTCGGCGGCACCGGCTCATCTACGGGCTGCTGGAGGAGGAGTTCAAGCAGGGCCTGCACGCGCTCTCTCTTGTCACCAGAACGCCTGCCGAAGAGGAGCGCCTTTCCGTGCGCTCCTGAGCTCCCAACAACCTGCACGCGCGGCGCGTCTCCTCGCCAGTCAGTACAACACCTGCTGAGGAGGATTCTCTCTCTGCGCTCCTGAGCCCTGAGCACCGCAGAGGAAGCTAGTTGCGATGACTGGCGATGATGGGATACACAGGATTTTAGGTTGCTGTTGTAATGTACGCGTGCAATGAGCTTCAGCCATGATTATCACTTAAGGTATCATCTCTCCTCCACATTCATCTCTCCACATGTTTTAATACCGTATTAGCTTTGGCAAGCTTAGGTATACTAGTTCGACATGCAATGTTGAAGCAGATCCATAATACCGTAAACCCCCGTATATAGGACCCCCTCCAGTTGTAGACCCCCGGGTCTATAATACGGAGGGGGGTACTCTATTCGAGTCTATCCGAGTTATACCCCCCTAAATGGCTCCTGACATTATAAGACCCCCCACATCCTAGAGAAGTGTGTATTTTCAGCGAATGCAATGGAAAATGGTCCTATTCCATGTTCAGGTACAGACAATCACACACATGAACGCGCATGCACAGGCCAATTATCAGCCTAATCCTCTCCAAATACGGGAACCTTCACCTGCGGAAGCGGACGGCGTGGGCTCCCGCTGGGCTCCTTATCTGTCTCATCGCTGCTAGAGGAACTTGGCGTTGGCATGACGGGCCTGGGCGAAGGCCTAAGAACAGGAGGCTTCTGGACTTTCTTGCGGCGCCCGCGTCGAGCATCGGACGTCCCAGCATCTGGTGATG